GAGCTGGGAGGGAAGTGCTGGCATACCCATGCTTTTCCCCTGTCCCATGTTCAGGGAAATGGGGTCCAGGGAGGCTGGCCTCCTCCAGCACCTGCACAAGGCTCAGACTGTGGAGACTGTGGGCAGGTGTTGTTTGCTGCCTGCATGGTGCTGACTGGGGGAAATAAATAGAGGCCGTCTGTTTCTAAGCTGCCAGTCCCATGCATCTCAAAAGCTGCATGTGTTTTCTTCAAAATGAACTAGATACAAGCATATGTAATGACAATAATAATAATAATAATAATAATAATAATAATAATAATAATAATATTCCATGTCTGTGCAGGGCACTCCAAAGTTTTCCAGAGACTCCATTTGCAAGTGGCTGAATGAAAATTAAAGCCAGATCATCTCTGCCAGTTTATCATGTGCACCATCTCCTGCTCTTGCTTCCTTTTAAACAGATTTATTCCTGGTCATTACCAGATCAAACTCAGAAGAGGTTATGGCTTCGTTCTGCCGGACCGGGATTTGATTTAAAGTCCCACGAGGAATATTATGTCATCAAACTATTTCCTCTCAATAACAGAATAAAAAAGGGGGATGTGTGAGGGGGAGAGGCAGCACACAGTGCGACAGAGGCTGTGACTGGAGGGCATTGCAGCATGCCCGAGCAGGCAGCTCAGCAGAAACCCTCTTCAGCCTCATCCCCACCACAGCCATCATGGAGATCTTGGGGATGAAGTCAGGAAGGCAGCATGACAAAGTCCTGGAATGAGGTACAGGAAAATCCTAGTGCACTGCCAGAGGCTGGCCGTGCTTTGCATCTATCACATGATGCTCAGGAGCATCTGATGCACGGCTGGGGATGGGCAGCATGGTGGAAAGCGCCTCACATGATGCTCAGGAGGTTTTGCCTGGCTTTCTGCAGGGTTGAGCCTACAGTGGGGAGGGCCTGGAGAGCCTCTCTTCTCATCTTTCACCTTTGCCTTTGGCAAAATCAGATCACCTAGTTTACCAAGGGGGGAAAAAAAGGTGTTTTATGACAAGATGCAGAATTTTGCCTGGTTTGCACTTTTCTGACTGTAATGAACCTTTACGTGCTTGTAATGGCCAGCATGAGCCCCTTGAGAAACGAGGAGAGGAAAACTCTCAGCTTCTCTGTCTCCCCGCAGTGCTAAGCATTAAGTTCATTTTGCTGCGTCTCTTGGCACATTGCTCTGCCTATGTCAGCTTTGCAATGCACCTGGCTCTGGCTGCACTTGGTGTCCTCACAACTCTTGGATGAAAAAAGGAATCGAGGAAAATGATTGCAACAATGTGGACGTGGTGTGTGAGGAGCAGTGAAGTGGAGCAAAGCCCAGTCCCAGCAGCAGGGCTCAGTTGGTCAGATCTTTTCCAAGTGATCTTTTCTGTCCATTTTTTGAGTGTAGCCAAATATATTACTACTTATTAAGTGAGTACCTCCAGACAGGCCACACACCTGCCCAATTAATGTTGCTCTTGGAGGCTTAAAGAAACCCTCTCAACCTAAAAATCTAGTTAGTTCAAATCTATTAACTGACTTAAGCAGCCTTGCTGAAGAAATGAGGCAGCTTAAGTGCACAAAGCTGGGGATGGTTGGCTGGTTTTCATTACCAAGCATAAGAAAGTGGCTGGTGATCTCCCTCTGCAGAGTGGAAGGATGGGCTGCATTTGGGAGCCTCGGGAGGCCTCCTGTTAGCCTGCAGACAAGCCACTTGCCTGTATCTCACTGCTTGCATCTTGTGAAATCAAGAAAATAAAATATATTTGCTCTTTCTAAGGTGACTTGCCATGTCAGTGAGCTTCCACCCCAACTGCTCCCTTACCAACAAGGAATAGCTTCGATGGATGAAATGTGCAACTGTTTCTTCTAAAGGCTGCAAGATCTAAGCTCTTAACTATGATTTTTTTTTTTAGAAAATTGTTTGTCACAACAGTTTCCAGGTATGGACATAATGGAAGTGAAAGAGGTGACGTTGCCTGGCAGCAGCAGCAGTTGGTTCTTTTGCTGTCCAGCTCTGCCTGGAATCTCTGGTTTGAGCCTGCCCATTATTGCTCAGTCAATGTAACCCAGCTCAGCTCAAGGCTTCTGTGTGCAGTGGGTCCTCACAGTGTTTTGCAGTGCCATCAGGGTGGTGACAGGCTGGCAAAGGGAGCACGCCCTCTCTTTGCCCTCTCTACAATGCCAGGGAGTGGAGCATGGATCAGAGCTGATGTCAATGGTGAGGAAAGCACAGAGAGAAGGAGACATCTCGTAAGCTAGCTGTGCTTTGGTCCACAGAAAGCTTTCCTAAGGACAAAGAGTACTTTGGGATGGCTTTTCCAGGATGGAGAAGATAAGCATCCACAGTGAGATGTCACAAGTGAGAGTCGGCTTAGTGGAATCTCCCCAGAGAGCTCCTAAGATCATCTGAAATCAAATGCTTGCCTGTAAATCTTACCTTGGGCACCTCCAGGCTGTGAGACAGGTTTCTCTTCATAGGAGAGAAGCCTGGCATCTTGGCTGGAGGTGGAGAAAGGAAGTTAGGAATGCCACCTCTGCTTGAAAATTAGGGAGAGGGAGATGTTTGTCTAGTCTTGTGACTCTGAGCTGTGCCTTTATAATGTGGCAACATAAAAAGGTATGAAAGAGCAAATGCAAAAAGAAATTATTCTGTCCAGCCCAGCAGCAAACCCAAAGGTAGGAGCAGAGAGGAGATGTGTATCAGGATGTATCTCCACAGATGTGTCTCTGGGGAGAGACCATTACAAAAGTTCATTCATCCCAAATGAGTAAGCAGAGATTCACAACAGAGCTCATTGCAAGGGTTCATGTGACACAGGGAAACAACATTTTACTAGTTTTGAGTCCTAAACCAAAACTGAACACCAGACTATGCTACTTTAGAGGCTGTTCCTCATCTTCCAAAGAGAAGATAAACCTTCTGTCTAATGCTGCAGAAAACAAGGCACCTGCTTTGTAAGCTCAATATATGGAGGTTGGTACTTCAGGTATCAGCATCAGTGCTGGTCACAGCCTCACATTGGGATGTCACTTCAGCAGTCTGTCAGCTCTCCTTGGGTCAGAGGAGCAGGGCCTTATTGCCAGTGACCCTAAGCAGACCTGCCAGCCCAGCCTGTTGTGAAGGTGTGTGAGACATCCCATTGAAAGAGCTTGGCTGTAATTGTTTGCAATTTCACTGCTTTCCAAACCATTGAGGCTGGAATTTTGAGGACTAAATCTTTGCTTCTAACAGAAGAGATTTTCACGGGCAATTTCTGCACGATATGATCAATCTCTATTTGCAAGAAGAAGGAGGAGGAGGACACATTGGTTATTTTACTTCTAAACTTAAAAAGCTCTTATGATTTTCAGAGAACCCATATAGCTCCTACGCTTAGGAACACCAGCTTCCAGCTTTTTTTAGTTTGCTCTAGTGTGATACACCCAATTTCAACAACCCGAGTGTGACCCAATTATGAGACTTGAGGTGAAAAGATAACATTGGTGTCAGTGGATATTTGTTAGAGTTTGGCAGGTGAAATGTGGCTGATGTTGAGTATCTGCCCAAGGGCTGTTGGGGAGCTCTGAGTAAGGCTCTGGATCTTGATGCCACAGGCCAAGCAGCCAAGGTCTGTGCTTTGGATCTCAGGTATCCAACCTCACTGATAATAGGTGGTGTATTGGGCTGACATTAATCAACCATTTTCCCTGCACTCAACAAAGCTGCTTCTCTGCTTTCTGGGTTGTCTTCTGGTGCTTGGTTGGGTTAAGTGGAACTGGGGTCCTGACCAGGCAAACACTCAGACCTAGCTCCACTTCCTCCAGGAGACTTGGCCTCCTCATCTTCCTGTGTGCTACTTCTTGGGGATGGGATGGTGGTTTCAAAGGTGACAAGTCTTGTGCAGACATCTCCCGGGCTGGCAGAGTACCCTGGTGATGTCCTAGTGCACTTCATATGTAATTTCATCCCATGCTTGAGGTCCCATTCCCATTTCCCTGAGGCTCTTCTTGCAGGCAGCATCCAGTCAGCTGTTCCTAGTGAGGGTCTCCAGATACCCTGCAAGGAAAAGTCTGTACGTGCTGCCTTAATATTCCGCTCTTTCTTCTTTGGGGAAGGGGAAGCTGTTTATTTGAGATGCAAGGTGCAGGACTGGGGCTGCTGTAAATAGCTCTCTGCTTTGGTGAATCTGCTGTGTCAAAGAGGGACAGTCTTGTGGCAGGCAGTGAAGGCTAAGCCCATGAGCAAAGATTAGACCAGCAACTGCGGATTAGGACTTTTTTACCTGGACTCATCCTTAATTCTGCCTGATTTAAAATAACATACAGTGGCAATGGTGGTTACAGGTAGGGAAGACTCAAAGTGGCCCTGACAAGTGGACCTGGAGTAGGGATGTTTGGCCCCTGAAATATGTGGGGTGTTGGCATATGGGTGAGTGGACAGGATAGGTGGTGTCATGGAGTGGGCTGATGGAAAACTGGTGGAGAGAGGTATGTGGTGTGGGGAAATAGGGAGAATTGGAAGCCCAGCAGAATGGAGCTGCAGAGCAAGCAGGGCTGTAGATTGTGGGAGGGTGGATGGGGAAAAGAGCGTAGTAGCTTGATAGATAAAATCAGTGAACAGATGCATGGTAAAAACAATTAATCTCTTGAAGAGAAAGGAGTGAGTGGGAGAGTAAGTGCAGACTAAGAGGATTTCCACTACTTGAAGCCATTGTATGCAGGCACCCGCACCAAAACCATATCCCAATTTACACTCCATGTCACCTCCCTGTGTGTCTGTAGGAAGCCACCCTTACTCCAGACTGCAGCTGCTTTGCATCACTTTAGGTCAGATGGATAAAAAGGTTATAAGTTAATCCTCAGAAATAAAATGAGACCATGTTCCTGTGGCTACAACCCAGGCAAGGCAGGAGCTCAGCAGAGCAGGTCTGTCCCCTGCAGAGCTCTGCTCCTTTCTGCTGGTCCAGAGAGATGGGGCTTGCCCTGATGTGTCTCTGGCCTCCCTCCCCACCAGGTGTTCTCTATCGTGGTGTTCGGCTCCATTGTCAATGAAGGCTACGTGAACCGTGTGGATGAGGTAGAAGAGCACTGCATTTTCAACCGCAATCCCAATGCCTGCAACTATGGCATTACCGTGGGCGTCCTCGCCTTCCTCAGCTGCCTTCTTTACCTGGCTCTGGATGCCTACTTCCCGCAGATCAGCAGCGTCAAGGACCGCAAGAAGGCAGTGCTCTCGGACATCGGCGTCTCAGGTGAGCTTCCTGGCCCTTGGGCCCTACTGGCTTATTCCAGCCATTCAGGCAGACTGCTCGATGTCAGGCTCTCCCCAGGGTATGTCAAAGGGGCCAGGAATAGAGTGAGGGCAGGATCAGGTGAAGCACCTGGATTTGCTAGGGACTTTGGGCTTGCAAGTTCTTTCACAGTTAGCCCCTTGCCTTGCAATCCTATGTACAGCTGACAAGAGAAGGGAAAGTGCCCTGTTTTTCTGTTGCTTTGGAATGCCCATTTGCTTCACTGCCAGGTGTCTGCCTGTGCTTGGCAGAGGGTGGGGTGGGACCTCCTACCTTCACCCCTTTCCTAAGGCACAGCATGCTAGTGATCTTTCAGCACCTTTCCTTGATGTGAGTCCTTGAGCTGTTCTGTCCTGAGCACAAGCTGGTCTCTGTGTAACTGCAGACCAGCTGCTTCCCATTCTTTTGCAGCTCCCATGGAAGGAATTGCTCTTTGCTTGTCCTTGCAGGACAGCATTGTGAAGCAGTGGCTGTTTCATAGAGCCCAGGTGATTGCTCTAGTACTGGAAGCCCTTCAGGCTCCCTCCCAAGGCCAAATGCAAGTCCTATGATCAATCCAAACACAAACAAATGAACTCTCCTGAGGTGCTCTCTGCAGACACCTCTTGGTCACCTTGACAATTTGCTGTCAGGGAGCCTGCCAGCTCACTTGGGCTCAGACTGGCTGAGCAGTCAGTTTGGCCCAGTCTACAACATAGTGGTGGGTCTCAGGGAGCTGAAATTTCCAGAGAAATGTAATATGTGTATGTTATGCTCATATTTCTCTTCCTGTTGTCTTTGTCCTTCCCTTTGGCATGCCGGTGGTGGTCCATCCCAGCCTTTTGGGCATTCCTCTGGTTCGTTGGCTTCTGCTTTCTGACCAACCAGTGGCAAGCTTCAAAACCAGAGGACAACCCACTGAATGAGGGAGGGGATGCAGCCCGAGCAGCCATCACGTTCTCGTTCTTCTCCATCTTTACCTGGGTGAGTACAGTAGCCATGATGTTGGATTAAATGTCCTCTGTGCTGTATTATCTTGTGGGGAATGAAAGGAGACTGGGTAAGAGTGAGGCCCCTGGGATCACAGTTCACATGGCTTCTGAGAAGGAAAGCAGGAGAGGAGGTGGTTGGGAAGTAAACTTGGGAAACAGGGACTCAAAAACTTATGTGGAAGAAGGTTTTAGAGCACTAATAAGCATAATGGTTAAGAGAGTCCCATATCCCAGTAAGAGGTGTTCTCAACAGACCTTTAATACGACCTTGGACAAGCCAGATCCCCAGCCATCATTGTCATAGAATCATACAATAACTTGGGTTCAAGGGACTTTTAAAAGCCATCTAGTCCAACCCCCCTGCAAAAAGCAGGGACATGTTCAACTAGATCAGGTGGCTCAGAGCCCAGTTCAATCTGACTTTGAATGTTTGCAGGGATGGGACATCCACCACCTCTTTAGACAACCTGTTACTGTTTTCTCTGTGAGTCAGAGTACTTCAACAGCATTTTCACCTTACAGACACTAAACTGAGAAGGGAGCTGCAGGCCAGGGGTTGCATCCATCTTCCTCCCACCTTTGCTCCCATCATGGAAGATGTCATCATTGTTCTTCTGGATTCTGCACCCACCAGTGGAGTGCTACCTCACAGGGTTGCCTTTTAGGAAGGTGATAGTGCTGTCTTAAGACTGCCCTTTCCCCAGCAGTTCTTTACTGCTAGTTTCCTGGAAAAACTGTTGGGAGAAATATAAATATCTCTGATGACTTCCTCCTGCGTCTGAGAGCACCAAGCACAAGTAATTTTTTTCTGAAGTGACAGGATAGTGCCAAGCAGGAAAGCATTTTAACCTTGTCTCCATGCATAAGCCCTTGTGGCTTTATCTTCTCCTTTTCCTACAGATGTTGGGCAAGGACCATATAGGAAAGGTGCTATAAGACCACGGAGCTGTCAAAGAGGAAGAGGGGCTGCAAAGGGTTGTGCTATCAGCACCCTTGGCACGGTGACACTGAGAAGGATGGAGAGACACCAGTGTGTGTTCCCTTCATGAGCTGTGTCCTGCACTTGAGTGCTGCCAAAAGCCCCTTGCAAGCTCCATCAGAAAGTGAGATAAGGAGCAGGGGTTTTGCAAGGGGTTCCTCAGGACACTTTTGGAGGGGCCATCACCTGCAGTGATCCTCTCCCATGCACAGGCTTGCAAGGGGCCAAAAAGGCATCCTCTTCTCCTGGTTCCTTGGGGTTTTTTTTTATTTCAGTCAAACACTGTGGTTTGCTCTACCTTACTGATTCTCCTTCCCACAACCCTCTCTCCTCACAGGGCTTCCTCGCATTTCTGGCTTTCCGGAGACTCAGAGAGATTAATTTTCAGGAGGAATACAATACCCTGTTCCCTAACTCCCCATCCTTGCTGCCTTAGTATCAGCCCCTTGCTGATGGGAGAATTTGGGGGAAGGTGTGGAGAGATGCAGTTGGAGGAGATCACTGAGCAGAGCTGGTTCCAATGCCCTGACTATGAGTGTGTGGTCATGCAGGGCATGGGATGGGAAGACATGGCCATTGAATTGGAGTGGGGTTGTCCATTGAATGGGGGATCTCCCTTTGGAGAGTTGGAACTGGCAACTTCTTCTCCTCTTCTGCTCCTTTCTCTCCCTCCCTTCTCTCCTTCCCATACCCTAACTAATGCTGTGTAACACCACTGTGCCTTTTTTTGATGACTGCTCAGACCTAATACTTCAGCCAGGAGATGCCCTCTGCCCCACTATTTTATCTCTTCCATTTCTTCCCAGAGCTCATTCCCCAAAAACCTCTCCCCCATCACTTGCTAGTCTGCTCACCTCTCTCAGGGATGCTCTGGGACAATGAGCCATGCCTGCTGAACCCTGTGCCCAGGCTCCCACAGTCCACCAAAAGGTGTCTGAGGCAGGAGACAGCAGTTTGCTTGCTAACTGTCCCCTGGTCTGGGAAGCAGCTGTCTTGCTTTCTGCTGCTCTTTCTCAAGGTGTGTGCTACACCTTGCACATGTTGACTGGTGAAGGTGTTTTGGGGGTTGACCTCTACCTCAGTACTTGGTGTCAAATCCTGCTCTCCTTACTGGCCTTAACAAGTCAAATGACCTCGTACATGCAGCCCAGCAGCGGAGCCCTCTGGTGTTGCCGAGGCAGATTGCCTTCCCAAGCCAGGAGGGGCTGACTGGGATAACCAGTGCCAACTGAGCCTCCGCCACCCGTGAGATGTTGGTGAAACCCCACTGGCAGACAGGAGGTGCCCTGAACATCCCAGAGAAAGCCAGGCTGCACACAGCCAGCTGCTCTTGCAGCCATCCCTGCCCAGTCCTCTTCTTTTCCTGTGGGCTCGTGCTTTCTGTGGGAGCGTGTGGACTTCCATGCTCGTGGGGCGTTTCACCAGCGATCTGCCAGGTGGGCATTGCACACTAACCCATAACCACTACTAACCCCACTTTTGTTTGTTTCTCTTTTTCGGTACGATCCTCCTCTTTTCCCTCTTCCCTCTCTGCTTCCCATCTCTTCCCTCCACCTCCTCCCTTAAAGGTGGGCCAGGCATTCCTGGCGTATCAGCGTTTCCAGCTGGGTGCCGATTCGGCCCTCTTCTCCCAGGACTACATGGACCCAAGCCAGGACTCCGGCATGCCTTATGCTCCCTACACGAACGAGGAGGATGCTACAGATGCGGTGGGGACGTACCAGCAGCCCCCTCCAGCAGATGCTTTTGACACCGAGACACAGGGGTACCAAACGCAGAACTACTGAGCCACCGATGCCCCTTTCCCTCCCCCTTTCCCTTCTGCCCCCGTTCCCACTGCCGGCAGAAAGCCGAGGCACAAACAAGACACGTGCATAGTGGTACAAGAGGTGGCTCTCAGCTATGCTCCAGCCTTCTGGGTCATCTGTTTTTATTTATTGTTTTTAAAAAATGAAAAAAAAAAAAGGCAAAAAGGTTTCCCCATCACCTATTCCTTCTCCTCTCCCACCAAGCTACCTGCCAGAACCAAATTTTTCCAAAATCTACATTTTGATAGGAAGGTCCCTCCTTTCCTCTTCTCCCTCTGCCTTGTTACAGAGGGCAGAGTCTGTCTTGTGGCTAGGAGAGGAGCTATGGCACTGGCAGGGCAGGGGAAAGGGTGTTGGAGGCAGAACAGAAGAAATGAGAGGGACCGGGGACCTTCCTAGAAGAGATGGTATTGCTAATGGCTGGAGTAGATGTGGGAGCATCCAAATTGGTTTGGAGCACCTGGTGGCTCAGGGAGGAGAATGATGTTGGAATCAGCATTCAAGAGTGTGGGGAGGGGCCTGGAGGACAGAAACATCCTCCATATAAAGACAAGGAGGCTTTTCCCTGCCACATGCTAGTGAGGGAGGGTGCTTTATTTTTGGAGGGTTTGGGAGAAGTGGTATTGGAGAGGAGGGGAGTACAAGAAGAAAAAATGGGAAGGGAAAAAGGAAGATTTGCAGGTACAATCAGAAATCACAGGCACGTCTGTAGGTTTCAGCAAGAGACTGAGCAGAGCAGAAGGGTGATGCCCTGAGATTCAGTCTTTCCTCAGACCCCTTGGATTGAGGTGGACGGTGATTCTCCTCACCTGTATGTCCTGCTAGTCACTGCTCTTCCCAGACCAGTTTGATGAGGCAGGAGGGGAGCCATGCCCAGTCTCTGGGCCCAGGTACAGTGCCTGTGGGAGGAAGGATGGAGGAGGTGGGCTTCTAGAGAGCCCTGAGAGCCTTCAACCCCAGCTGGGCTGATTCGAGGGGGAGAGGGGAGCTTTGTCATTTCACCCAGAGCAGGAGGAGAAGAAAGACAGTTTTGCTTCTCAGGTCCTGCTTAACCTTCCTCTGTTCCTCTGTTCCTTTACAATAGTGCAAAGCCTCTTGCTGATACCATTTTTGTAGCACACAGGAATGGAGCAGGACCCCACTTAGGAAGAAATACTGCTGCTGGGATAGCCAGCATGTGTCTGGCTCTCACACAGGGGTGCAGCCAAGCGGGAGGGGTCTTGCCCTCTACAGCTGCATTTTGCCTCCCACTCAGATACGGAAGAGGTCTTGGTGTGCAGAGAATTGGTTGGGGCCAGACTGAGTTATCTGAAAACTGGTCTTTCTGTACTTGCCATAGACCATACCTTAGTGCTCTTCTTCAGCATCTCAGATCCTGAGACTTTAAAGCCTCGCCTAGGTGGCAGCAGTGACTGTTAGATAGAGCTCTTATGGGTATCATTCCACACTCCTCATGATTTTGCTCCAAGTAAAGACAGAACTGTGGAAGCCCACTCTTTGTTCCAAGTTAGAAGTTAGGTTTGGGCGTGAAGACAGATTCCCAGATTTCCCCTAAATGGAATAATTCAGCTACCTAGACAATTCTCCTGGGCACAGACATCTCTCAGAGCACAAGAAGCAGGCTTTACCTTGCAGAAGCGAGGAGCTCCTTCCCCAGGCAGCCACCCTGTTTGATGTAACAGTGATCCCAGCAGCAGAGATCAGGAGCAGATCCAAAATCTGTCAGTGTCCACATTGCACATCCAGCCTATTCCTCATAGCTCCCTTAGGATGTGGGAAGAGTGGGACACAGGTCTGGCCTGTGGCTGTGTGAACATCTTATCTGGAGGACACCAAGGTTACCAGTCCTTCCCTCCTCCCTGCCCCACAAAGATAAGGAAGGGGTAGAAACTGTAGCGCAGCAGGGGGAAGTGGAGCGGTGTTCTCCACTATATATACAGGCACCATTTCTCCCTGTTCCGCCAGCACATTTGTGCTGCTGGTGGCTGTCCCCATGGCTTGTCCTTGCCAGGCTTGTCCCACCTTACTGGTGGTTACCTACAGGTGAGGACAGGAGTGGGGGATCAGGTAGCCCTAAGGACACAGCAGGAATGACTGGGCACGGGCACACATCCCTTGCTCTGTGCCTATGAGTGAATGCAATATTGTAAATAAAAGGGGTGCTTTTTGTAAGGAAGCCCCTTGAGCTTCATTTTCTGTGGGTTCAGCCTAATATTTAGGCTTGGGACGGGTTTACTTTATTAAGAGAGGTTTGTTGTGACTGGATGTGGGAGGAGCACCCTCTTGTCTGTCTCCCAACAGGGGAGAAGAATGATTGAATGATGAGGCAGAGGAGGAGAGAAGTTAGTTGTACTCACCTAGATTCATCTGTGTCATCCTTCACGCTTTCCTTTGGGGTGTGGGGAGGGAACCGAGAGGAGGTGGAGGCTGTAACTATCCCTCAGCACAAAAATATGTTGTACCTTTTGGGAGGTCCCTCCTCTGTGACTGACTAGGCAGTAAGGATAGGTATAGGCAGTGTGGGCAGGATCTACCTGGAGCTCTGTTTTGGGGTGTGGTGCAGGAGCATCTTGCATGCCCCTTCTCCCATCAGAGTTACGGAGGTAGCTAAACACCATTTGGGGCTGACTAATGAGCAAGCTTTTCTTTATCCTCTTGGGCTTGCTTCCCTCATGTAACCATCTGATGGGCTCAGGTGGGTTTGAGGCAGAAATGAGCCTCCCCCTCAGAACCAGCACTTAAGTGGGACATGAGCCAAGTGACTTCATCTTGGGCTATATCCCGTCTCTCTGTTGTTCTTGCTTTGTGTCATAAGAAAAGCATTGATGTGACACTACAACAGAAGATACTCTGACAACTCGCTTTTGCTCATGGGAGAAGACACTCTGCTTGGGTTCATGTGCTTTCAGCCTTTGCACTGGAGGGTTGGTGGTGACAGACCTTGGAGTGGGACTCTGCTTGTTTGCATGTAGCCCTTTAAAATGCAGATTGCAATTTCCAGTGGCAGTTGGCTAGCTGAGACATAGCGACCTACCCAAAGGGCTGGTTATCTTATCTTAGGTGCTTCTGATAAGGTGCTGCCTATTTCTGGTGATCATAGGCGAGACCTGAGCAGCTGACTGGAACATATCCCTTTTACATTCTAAGTGTGGGTGAGATCAGCCCCGCTCTAGAGATTAGGAGATCAGAGGGAAGGCTGTATAAGCAAAATGATAAGGCAGCTTTCTTCCCCTTCTGCCATTTGCTCTGATTACAGGGGATTGCACATCCCTTGTTGGGATCAATGGCCCCTTGATGTCTTCTTATTTTACAAAGCCCCCAAGTAAGGGACTGTTTTGTGGAAGCAGAGGCTGTGAAGGGCAAAGAGATGATGAAATGTTGCCCCAGTTCTGTCTGTGGACTCAGCCTCCTGATTTGTCCCCATCCCCGGATCACCTATATCCTCACACCCTGTTCATCACCTCATCACACACCCTTCCTCTCTGCGTTATTCCTGGCAGTTCCCACAGGGGAGGAGGTATCTTTGTCCCTGTACCCTTGCAAGCACTTGGGAGGACCCAGGAAGGCAGCATTGCAGGGTGATTCCCACAGGAGTCTCAGCTCCCATCCCCAGAGCAGGTACAAGGTAAGGAACCCAGTGAGGCCACCTCATGCAGCAAATTCAAACCATCCATCCAGACAACTCCCTGCTGCCTGTGTGGCATTTGTAACACCACCTGGGCTGCCCTGCCCCTTCGCCTGCCACATTACTGCCTGTGTATAGTATATATATTATATATATATATATTTAAAAAGATGTATAATATAAAGCTATACATATATACGTATATACGATGACTCATGGATGGCCTGCCGCATACAGGATCCTGAGTGGTCTTGTCTAAGCCCGAGTGTCCCTTCATCCCTCCTCCCCCTCCCCCTGCCCCCATCCGTTCCGAAATTCAACTACAGCGAACCCCGCCACCTCGGCACCTGTGTTTACAATGTCCTATATATTTGTGGTTAACAAAGTGAAGGTGGTAACTACTGGTGTCTCAATAAAGTTATGACGTTCAAAATAACCATACTATATGGAAAAAAAAATGGTCTGGATTTTCTTCTTTGGGGAGGGATGGCTTTTTTAGCTTGGTTTGCTACAAGAGCATTGGCTCTTGTGCTCCTGCATGGCCAAGCTGGCAAGTTTAGTGACAGTCAATGGCTCGGATGGAGGAAAGAAACCTAAAGAAGTGCCCTTATTGAGATGTTTCAGTGGGAGCAAATGGTTACATGTTTTACTTGGCCTAAGTTTAAAATCAGACACACCATCAAATGTCTCTCACCTAATCAGTAGGAAAACTTGAGGAACCTGACATGCCATGTTAGAAGTGGACTGTCACTGTGAAAAGGATGTAGCAATAGGAGGTGTGGATGGTGGACTTACAGGAATATAGGATACAAATCCATCTGGAAATAAACACCTATATTTCCATACCCAGGGAAACAGAAGTGTTTAGTCCTTTGATGTGTCTTTATCTTTATTCATCTATGTGTGACCATTGCTCGGGTGTCTGGTGTACTGCAGGTTTTCAAAACATAATCAAATCCTGGGAAATGAGCTCTCAGGGCCATTGCCCACAGTGGGTGTCAGTGATTGGTAGCCCACCACTAAAAAGGATCTTGTTTCAACAGACTTTGTAATAAAAATGAAATTTAAAATCCCATCCTGTGCTGATGCTTAGCTAAAGCTTTCCTCTCATCCCCTTTTAATGAGTCTGTCACCCGAGTACCTGAGTATCGAATTTCCCAACCTTTGTGGGGTTTGGGGACAGTAAACAGAGTCACATGATGGTGATAAGGCTCTAGCCAGTCCTTCAGACTGTCTCTCCTCTTGGGGCCACTACTGAGCACACACTGCAGCTGCACATCAGATTATATGCAAAAGTGTTGGTGGACCAACCCATCTGTTTAATGATTAATCTTTGTTTGGACAAAGACCCTTCCTACAGTCACAGCTTTTGGGGTGGATGTTTTCTGAAGATACCAAGCCCACAGAAAGGCAAATATCTGTGTTGGCAACAGGTGGTGTTAAGAACTGGTAAAGCAAGATGTTGCCAAAAGCAAGCATTTCAGATGAGTAGGACTCCAACATTACTAGTTTGTTTGTGTTTTCTAATAGTTTGAAATCTCTTTAGTTTTGCTCTCTGGTATTTCACATGCTTATGAGTCATGTTTTGAAGCTTCTCCCTGCAGCCATGACATCTAAAAACAATTCTGTTATAAAGTTGTTTTCTTTTTTTTTTAAAGTTCACATCATCCCAGGACTCAAGGAGATGAAACTCTGTTTAGTGTATCAAAGAGATCAATAAAATTACATGAAACAACCAATTTCCCTCCCTCATAAATCCATCTGCCTAAAACTGTATAAGCTGTTTTGCAGTGGTATTTGACTCTCTCGGAGGGGATCAGCACACTCTTCATTCCCCCTTTCTCTGGCAGTAGCTCTCCACATTGGCTCTCCAACTCTCACAGAGGGTGCTGGGGGAAGGAATCTGTTGTTTCCAGCTTTCCTCCTTAACACTTGTTCTTTTTATTGCCCCATCTTATTTGTCTGCCCTTCCAGCAAGCCTGAAAACAGTGGCCTGTGAAGAAATGAGGAGCATTAGAGAACCTGTAACTGTGGGAAACATCAAGCTGAAGTTGGTAAAGGTAGATGAGGTGACCTCGGGGAGGAGCTGTGTGAGGCCTCACAACACCTTCCCCCCACCATCCCTTTCTGTCTGCCATGGGAGCAGAGCGAGTATGGCAAGCTGGCTCTGTCAGAGAGACCCTTCCTGTTTTCCATGTCATCTGCAAGCTTTGCCGAAAATCTGGGCTTTCCTTTCTAGCCCCAGCCTCTGTTAGCAGCAAAACAGAAAAAAAAAAAATCTCCCTAAACATATCTCACACATCATCAGCAGAGGGAAACGAAATGGTGTGATGGCTTCTCCTGGCAGTCTGGTAAATGCTTCCCGGTTTCTGAGCGCCTACAAGAGCACTGTGCAGGGGCTGCCCCCAGCTCCCTGCTCCCCATGGCACGTTGCTCAGCCATGCTGTTCATCTTTCATCCAGCAGCCCATTAGTGACCGTGTTTCTTTCCTGCAGAGAAAGCTTCCATAAAACCAGGAAGGCAGCAGTACAGCTTGGAACCAGGAATAGTCTGTGTATTATCCCTAGCACTGGGGACAGAGAAAATGGGAGAGTAATTACAAAAAGAGAGAGGGAAGAATGAGAAATGTGGGAATTCAACATGAGAGGGGAAGCTGTGTATTTGGTAACCACTGAATCATATAATTCATTTACTTGTGCATGGACGGTGAGGTTCAGTGACCAATATCCTGCATTCCTGAGGAGATCTTGGCTGCATGGGAATATGGCACGGCAGTTTCTGAGAGAATTTGCAGAAAGCAACAAGCACAAAGAGAGGTTAAAATAAGTTTGATCAATACAGCCAACAGAAACTCAGTGCACTATTTAATCTTCCAAGTGCTGCATAAAGCTTTCAATGAGCCGACATTAATGGAGCAGCTCACCAGCTTCTGTAGCACTTTCCTGTGGAGGACTGTGAAATGCTGGACAAACATGCATTTAATGCTGCAAATGGCCTCGTTTCCTAAATTCTACTATCCACTTTTTTTCCAGGTCAAGTAGTTAATTGACTGACTCAAGGTTAGGGCAGAAACTCAATGACAGAACCACAAGAGTATCAGGCAGAATCTGGCACAAGTATTTTCACCAAGAAAAAAATGCTTTGCAGCAGGTCTGCATTCCAGCACAAACTGCCAGAAAAAAGGTAAACCCAAATGACAAAAATCAGTAACTATGAGCTGAAGCCAGATATTTAAATTAGGAACAGTGCACATTTTTAACTGCAAGAGGTGACAAGCCATTGTACAAACAAGAAAAGAGGCAGATTTTCTATCTTGTATCTTTAGGAAAGTTGTTTTTCTTTCTCATTGACTTCACATTCTTCCTTATTGCACTCTCACACAGACTCTGCTCTTGTTAGTTTCAAAAGGACTCACTTATGGATAGAAGAAGACAGAAATGACTCCTAAATTTCTAGCCCTGCAATGCAATCCATGATGACAGTCTCTAGGCACACCCAAAGCCTTGCTGATTTCAGTGTCGCTCTGAGCAAGGACGGAGTCTGACTGTGCTCATCAAGGTGCATGACTGCAACCTTCAGTGGCATTAAATAACCATAAGCTGCTGCTGCAATGCTGAAAAAGTGTCATCCTGTTTTAAAGCAAAGACACTTGCCTGTAGCTTTTTAATGACACGGACAATGCTGTGCTATGCGTTTTTCTGCAGGAGCGGGAATTCTTTTTTTGATACTGGCAAGAAAACAAATCTTTGTCGGTACTAAATCTGTCCATCCTACTTACAATACAGACTTCAGACCTATTCCTATAATTATTTGTACCTATTCACAGCTTCACCCACAAGAATACTCTGAATGACATCACTGAGACCAAGCTTATACAGAAGCCGAAAACTGAGGAAACGTGTTTGTAAACCCAGGTTCTAAATCTAGCATTTTCTTCTATCTTTGCATAATAGAAGCTTTTAAAAAAGTAATTCTGCCTGTGTACCTAATTCTGGTTGAATGTCTGTATATTTGTGAGCCTTGCATGAAGGGGAAGGATCTGTAATCTTTGTATATTTTGAAGAAAGAAATGTAGCAAAACAGTAGACAGAGGATTTACAGGAAAGGAAGCTGGAATCCTCCGGCAAAAACCCCTGCAGCAAAAGCCATCATTCCATAGAATGAGGTTAATTAACTGGCAATTATTTCTGAAGTGCATCTGAATCGAATATATCTGCCACAAAGATGTCATTATAAGTGTACCAAGCTACTGCTCGATGTCAAGACTATTTAACACCCCCACCCTCACCACAACTGTGCTGCTGCCCATGACTGAAACTGCACGTCTCTCATGCTGGAGCCCCTGCAGCCACAATACACACAGGGAAACACACAGCCGTTGCTCCCACAGCCTGACTGCTGGCCATCACTCACATTAAGATACGCCATTCATGCTCCTGGAGGGCTCTTCTGCTGACTTATAATATTGAGAAAGCAGTGAGATTGAATCTTGTGTCTTCCATCCTCCTCCAGCTGAGCTGATTCTATGGAAACAGCCTATGTCTGCCAAGAAAGGATCTTAAATAAGAGCAAAATCAGCGCTCTCTGATTTTGATCTGAATTGTTCAAGCAGGCACACAAGTGATTTTACTGTTGTGCCTGACTCTAGACTAGCAAGAATGGCTCCAAACTGCGGTGAGGATTGAGAACCGCTTGTCATCTGTCCTAGACACCTCCCTGAGGACATGGTCCAACTACATCCTTGTTATGGCCTGCAAAAGAGAGAGGGAAAGGGCAGGACACAGACTGCAAGCTGAGACACATGGATGCCATGCATGTAGTGCCTATGGAACAGGGTGCAGCTGAGAGCTGATACCTGGGATGAGTCTTCCCTAGAGGTTGCTTGGAACATGATACACTACTAAGAAAACTATTTCAAAACCAGGGTGACCCCATTTCACAGGATTCAGGATTCACAGTACCAATTGCACCTCAAGGACTGTGTTCAGTTTTGGGCCCCTCACTTTAAAAAGGACATTGAGATGCTGGAACAGGTCCAGCAAAGGGCAACAAGGCTTGTGAAAGATGTAGAAAACACATCCTATGTGGAACAGCTAAGGGAGCTGGGTTTTTTTGGGTTTTGGTTTTTTTTTTTTTTTTTGGCTTTGTTTTGTTTTGTTTTTAATCTAAAGAGGAGGCTAAGACGAGACCTCATTGCTCTCTATAACACATGAAAAGAGCTTACGGTGAGGTCGGGGCTGGTCTCCTACTGTGTCCGCAGTGAGAAAACTAGAGGAAATGGTCTTAAGCTGAGGCGGGAGATGTTTTCCCCCACTGTTATGGTGCTCAGGCATTGGAATAGGCTGGTGATGGGGGTGTTCCCATCCCTGGGGGTGTTCAAGCAGCATCTGGATCTGGCGCTGGGTGACGTGGCTTAGGGCGTACAGCGGCAGTGCTGGGCGGACAGTTGGACTGGAAGATATCAGACGTCTCTTCCGACCCTGATCATCCCATGATTATATGATCCTACAACCCTGCTCCTCTTTCCTCCTCCTGCACACACACACGCCGCCAGTGGCGGCCAGCAGGTGTTTCTTTCTGGCACACCTGAAGGCCGTAGGTAAGAACTGGAGACGCCCGCACCCCGCCTAGAGCAGAGGGAAGGTGTGACCAGGGCCCGCTCCCAAGCGCTCCATCCCGCGGCTCTCCCCGGGCCGCCTCCCGCGGGGCGGGGCCGGAGCGGGCCGGGCTGTGGCGGCGGGGGCGGGGCCGGAGCGGGCCGGGCTGTGGCGGCGGGGGCGGGCGGGAGGCGGCCGCTCCCGCTGCAAGATGGCGGCGCAGAGGAGGAGCCTGCTGCAGAGTGTGAGTGGCATCTTCCCCCCCTCCGGGCACACGCACCCCCCAGGTGGGTGCGAGGCGGTCCCCGGGCCTCCTCCTCACCCGCTCCCCGCGCTGCCGTGCGGGAAGGGGGAGGTTCCCCCGCCGTGGGGCGGTGGGTGCTGCTCCCCTGCCCCCTGCGCCGCCTCAGGGCAGGGGTCCCGGGCTGCGGGGTCCCCGCCTGGCCAGTGACCCGCAGGCTGCGCCGGCCGGCCGCGGGCGGCTGGGGGCCGTGCCGGTGCTGCGGGCTGCGGGGTGCCCCGCTGTGTGAGGGGGCAGCTGGCTTCTGCAGGCCCGGCTGGAGATGGCGGCCCCAGGGATGTCTCTCTAATTGCTGGCTGCAGCGTCATGTCCCGGTCCCTTGTCCTGGTTGAGTAGTCTTGGGAGAATCCAGAGCTTTCCCTGCACTCCCGTGCCAGGAGTGCGTGAGGATCTGATTCACCATAGGAATATCTAAGCTAGTGCTGTGCTGTGCTCTATGGAGTGCAAAAGTTGCGTGCAAATTTCGCATCTGGTTTCTTGTTAACAAGAGCCAGAATACAGCCAGAGCTCAGCTTCAGAGGGAAGGGATGTGGTAAGTGATGCTGTTCTGCAGCTGGAAAATGTGGAGCTATTGGCTGTGCTATTAGTTAGCAAAGGGAGAAGGGTTGAGAAGAGGGTGTGAGTGGACTGGTGACTTGTACTGGACTACGATCTTCAGTTCAGCCTGCTTGAGGTTTACATGGTCTCTTTCCTCTTCCTGCTAGGAACAACAGCCCAGTTGGACAGATGACTTGCCATCCTGCCATCTCTCTGGGGTGGGCTCAGCTCCAAACCGTTCCTACAGTGCAGATGGCAAGGGGACAGAGGGTCACCCCTTGGAAGATAACTGGTTAAAATTCAG